ATGAGTCTCCGCCGCGCCCGCGCTGTGGGTGCGAATGACGAGTGCGAGCGGGCAAAGAGCCGTCGATGGCGGATTCCTTCAATGCCTAGCAGACCTTAAAGGGTGAGATATCATTCCTTCCCTTCCTCATCCTTAGAGCCGATTCACCATTCCCTACAAGGAAGTTCACCCGCATTTAAAAAAGGACTGGGAAGATTGATGATTGCGAGCACATCAACTGCTATGGTCAAAAATCACGTTAGTACAGTGAGAGATTTTTCGCAGGAGGGGGAGGTGTATCTGTACCGCCGAGTGGTGACATCCGGCGCTGATCAACTCGTTTGCTTGCGATGGGCTCCCCCCTCCACGTATCTTCCCCAGCGTCGTACAGTCCTAACCAGGACACGATCTAAGCGCCCAACTGGAACACACGATATGTGTGGTTACGTGCACAAACGCACACACGTATGTGTGTGTAAAAGAGGAGAAAATGGCAAAGAAAAGATCGCACGCGGACCACGACACATTTGGCAGGGTTGCAGCTCCGACATTTACGTGATACTGATCGGAGAAGCAACTGCCCGATAGAAGTCTCCACCAGACAGCAACTGAACCCGGCTTTGCTGTGTTGGAGTGTTAGAATCGTTCACCCAACGCGAATTCATGGTTACTTGTCGTGTGAAACATTTTATACGGCAGCACATCCGTCACTGCCCTTGATAGTGGTAGAACAGATCTTAATTAACATGTGTTCTCTTTACTTGCTTAGTGTCTGGTTCATTCACTCACTCTAGAGTATTTCAGGCTACAGTCAACAGTGGCTTTTGTCATATAACGGCGCCTAAGCCACTAACTTGTCCTAAAGCAACACACACTCATTTTCGTGCAATTCGCATACGCTAACGTAGTACTCGTATACTAACGAACACTATTGCAGAATAGACACTTTTTTCGGTAACGAGACCTAAAAACCGAGTTTTTATGACGAGAAATCGGCACATTTTCAGCAGCGTTAAACATTCCCCACACTCCGTAAGCACAGCACATGAGAGAGGAAGTGAAACTTTTTGGCCCCTCTACAAAGGCATTTCCGCCCACTGTACGAGCGCAGCCGCCGCCAGAAGATTCGCTCTGTAATCAGCCGCTTGTCGCGTGAACGGCGCGCGCTCAGGTGCCGTTTGATCGCGTTAATTGTGTAATAAATAACCAGCGAGGGCGCCGGCGCCGACGCACTCGCAGCTGCCGGACACCGCACCGCCCGGGCAGCCACACTATGACGGAACCTCTGTACGCAGGAAACAGTCATGCCGGACAAAAATAACTCCGACCCGAACATGGGTTGTCATTCTATTTTTTTTATTTTTATATTCCTGTTCGGCCAGGAGACCTTCAGAAGGCGCATACGGTTAGTGGCTGTAGATTTACAATAATTTTTGATATTTTATTTAATACACGAGTTCTTTAATACGTGCAAAGCCACATCCTGTGAATGCAATTATGGTTGATGAAAAAACTAAGGTGACATTTTATGAGTGTTGTATGCCAGAAATCTTCTTAACGCTGAACAGATGAAATTTGTGTTTTCAGAACTGCATGGGATTATAACTACGGAAGGAAACGTATTAATTTATTTTCTTTGGAAAGGCATTGCCACGTCTGTCATTACCACGCACGTTTCGTTTTGATATTTACTGCTGGGGACTATTTGACCTTTCTGGAATTTCTTGGACTAATATTCGAATTAAACGTTTTGCATTAACTCTCCTACCTGTCTGTAAGACGGAAGCGTGTGACGTAAAATGTCGTACATGTTTTTCTGGAATTTGAAATAATACTTTGACGGATAAAATAATTAAAGACGTTGTAATTGCCAACAATATTATTTAATGTAAGAGCAGCTTTCGATGGCTTAGCCATCATCATCAGTTGTCTGCTGGATGGAAGCCACAAAAACGACTACCGTTTTCGGTAGTCGGTAGGTAGTCGTTTTCTAGTAGTAGTAGTAGGTAGTCTAAGCCATCAAAAGCTGCTCTTACATTAAATAATATTGTTGGCAATGACAACGTCTTTAATTATTCCATGAAAAATGCCAAAGATATCACACCATAACACCTATACTTTGACGGATGCTACTCCACCACATATTACGAAAATGACTGAACTGTGTAACTGCGGAGAGGATGCTGTGTTTAACATTGTTTTCGGGGAACTAGGGAAAGCATCCACCCTAGTTTGTGAGTGTTGGAAGAGAGGATTCCAGAAAAGACGAATTTCAAAGAAAGAGAGGATTTCAGAAAAGCAAATAATCATGGACTCATATCACTCACTCAGTAAATTCATTTGCGTCCAACATGTTGATACACAAAATCCACACAATTCTCAGTTCACAACTACTGCTTCAAAATTAAATATTTATTTGCTTCAAAGGTGATAATCAGGTGTATTTCACGACATATTTCATTATTGAAAAATAATAATTTAATTTCGGAAAATGTAAATTTACCTCAGCACCCTCCCGATTCTCCTTCCTTTTTAAGCCTTCCTAAATCCTCTCTGCCTTTTGGGGAAATTATCCTCGAACACATGCCATATGGTACAAGCGTTTGGCATTCGGACACCAACCCATTATATAATGATCTGTATCAAAAGATGTCAGTTTCTTACTTTATTCATTGTCAAATCTCCATCTAGCCTTTTATTAGCCTAGTGCATTACTAAACAACTAAAAGAGGACTTCACGGTATTGATTATTCATAGTCCGAAGCATCAGAAAAAGTAAGTTCTTAAACTTAAGAATTATTCACTATACAAGAAATACTTGACATTGAACTATGATATGGCAATAAAGCGAATTATTTTATACTCCAGTACGAATGAAATCATTTAAATTTTATTCAGGTACGTCTGTTAATAAATTAGGATTTTTCTCATTCACTCACAACGATTCATTTCTTTCTACGAGACAGTGTAAATATATCCACTTTCACTGCAGTCACGCGCTGACTCTAAAGAACATTCATTACGATGAATTGTAATTGTTTCCATTGCAAAATTTTTCGTGATTCTAATAAAATTCGCCAGTATAGAAAAATACGTCGTTTCCATCTACAAAATTAAATCTAGTTTATTTTCTCTCTGATGCAAATTATTGCATTAAGAGAACGTTCATACTTTCAGAAATATCACTTGACAATAATCACCAAGGCAGTCACTCGATCTCTCAGAGGTACACAACTTCATTTCTTGTTAGAGGAGAAAAGTTACAGCATAATCACAGATAACGAGTAGTCGTAATAGTGACAATTACCACGAACAAAAAACCTTTCCTTAAAGTACTTGCATTTACAGAGATACGCTGTAATAAAAGAAACAAACAAATTATTACTGATGTCAGTGCCAAGGAAGACTTACCACTTGTTCTTCTTCTTGAGATAGTCTTTCTCTGACAAGTTGATGAGATATACCACTGGTTTCGTCGTGATAAATGGGTGCTTATTAAGGCATTCAATCTGAAAAAGACGTTGCAAGAGGTCAGTTGCAAATGTCGGTTATTACATATTTTAAGTAATGGAAACATATTCAGCCATGCACTGTAATGAATGTTTGTTTTCATAAAATATTATTTTCAAAACGGCGCGTTATGATCCGGGTAGCTTTTGAATCCACTAATTAAAATACAAACAAATTCGTTCAACATTTTCAATATACATCGCGAAAATAAAGAATCTGAAATATATAAAATCAAACATTCTGAAAAAATATACCCAAATTCCAAAATAAATCTAATCTACACAGTAAGCATCTTGCTTCAGATATAATGACATTTGTCGCCAAATCAAGGATTTTCTATCAAAACAAGCTCATTCCATTACTGAATAAAATGTGGGCGGGCTTTAATAATATCCCAAAGGGTTTTAGAACAAATTTAGTTTATTAGCAACTCTCGTTCACATCACATTGCGTTTGGAGGTGAACAGATTTCAGTTTCTCGTGCAAAATCTTCGTGAACGGAAAAAGCTTCATAGCAACCATCACAATATTTCTGAAGCGCATATACAACATAATACAGCTTACGTAAATTCTAATTCCCGCATACGCAAGCAATAAAAAGCCGATGGATTTAAAAAAGCTTGTTGAATGAATCGACGTATGTTTCTCCCCAATGATGAAGACAAAATGTATTTCTTTACAGCACATTTTACAACAGTAAAATGAAATGTTATATTAAAAAGATTAAGATGAGATGAAGATTATATTTATGAATTAAGATATATTTAAGATTATTAGAGAATTTAAGATTATATTTATGAAGATTAAGATATATTTATGAATTGATGTATGTTTTGAAATAATGAATAACAAAACTATATTAGTTATTAAATGTACGTAATTATGGCATACGGTACTTCTGCTGAGTCTCCCAAAGTTTTTTTTTATTCTTTGCGTAATAACAATATTTACAATGGTAATATTTATTGCCCAAAGAAAAAGTATATCTTGTTGAACACTATTTTACCTCGATGAAGTCGTAGGCTTCCGCGACCAGAGTCATGTGGGTGATCTGGGCTGTGTGGGTGACGCCGCGTCGAAGGCTGAGTTGCCAGGCAACTAGGCAACTCAGCCTTCGACGCGGCGTCACCCGGGCAGCCCAGATCACCCACTTTTTTACCTGAAATACTTATTGTGCAGCTTCAGAGATCACATTCCGCAGCTTTAATGCGAACTCGAATGCATTGTAAACCGAAATCAGGCCGTAAGGTATTATGGCATTAACAATTCTGCCCGTTACTGAGGCCAATACCTACCTCGTTAGCGTTCCAGTCTCCAAAACGCAGATGCGTCTTCTCATCCACCATCATCGTCTTGAACTTGCAGAGCATGTCCTGCGCAAAGAGACGAACGATTAAAAAAAAAAAAAAAAAAAAAAAAAAAAAAAAAAAAAAAAAAAAAAAAAAAAAATAATAATAATAATAATAATAATAATAATAATAATAATCATAATAATAAATTATTTACTGCCAAGCAAACGGCGAGTGTCAATGATTTAAATACTAACAGGCAAATTCTGTTTTTCAACTACGCCTCGAAAATATTCTAGAAAATAGTTAACGGTTAATATAAAAGAAAATAGTTAAATTCATCGATGTTCGCGGGCGTGTTGACTACTACGGTCGTTAGCTCCGTACGTGTTATCCCTGCTGTAACCTGGAGGTACGGTGTTCTCCCCCTCAGTGGAATGTGAGATCTGGCACCGACCTACACGTCGGCGCGCGGGGATCCCTTCTCCAGGTATGCCAACGGCAAGGCATCGCCTCAAACGGGACAAGCTCCTAGGGCCCGACTGCTCGCCCGATGTGTGCTAGTGTAGAGCGTGTAAGAGAGTGCGCAGGCACGCGCGTGTATAAACGGAGAGGAAGGGAAGATCGCGCGATGTCCGTCACCGTTTGTCGGGTACTGCCACGTCATTTGTCTGGTACCGGAGAAACCACGGACGATAAGAACGACCGGCCGCTACAGTTCTCCTCCTGGCAGCGACCTAGGTATTAGCTAGTGTCGAAAAATGCACCATAGTCGAAAGTTGATTTATCGATCAGAAAGCGGCCGTAACCACAATATTGACACCCTGAGCTATCACAGCAAGTTTTGCACGGTTGAATTCAATTGCCTTGTATTCTCCTATAAATCTAAGACATCTTCCAAATACACTCCATTAACCTTAAAAAAGGAAATAATATTACTTTACCAAACTTCGGTCGAATCCGATCTGGTCCTTCAGTTCTTTTGATGGAGAGGATCATAAATATTCGATTAGCAATGCTAAATTTGAAACTGGACGTTGTTTCTAAAACAACTCTAGCGATCGGGGGTAAATATATCTTCAGGATAGACCGATATATATCTCAGGGTACTCTCTGGAAGAAAATGGTGTAATGTGATCAACTTATCACCCACCAAAACTGAATAAAATGTCTCGGCAATGAAAGAACACTGATAAAAATCTAGAAAGTAAAGAAAAATAAATAGAAAAAAGTTAAGATGAAAGCCAAGAATTATCCTCATCCCAGTTTCACAGAAGGCGTTTTCAAATCTGTATTACCCGCTCAAAATTTATATTTAAGAGATTGAAAGAGCATCAAATCAGTAATAACCACCTACATGTATGAACAAATAAAATGGAAAATACTGTTAAAGAATTTTTACGTGGTATTCTGCAGTTTTCGTGCAGATTCTCGTCCAGAAAATACACACAAACTTAAGATACGAACCTAAAAGTACAGGCAATCGAAAGTCGTGTTTACACTATCTGCAAGTTCTCTGTCCGAATTGGCTTAAGACGCCGCCGGAACCCTAGTTAATTGCGCTGTGCGAGTACATTCTTTGGCGGATTTTGGGTTTGTGCGTGTGTGATTTTTTAAGTATTACGAAACACGTCAAGTATGAGAAAAATAGAAAGATCGACATCGTCGCTACAAGATTAGTTGTGGCTGTGACCACTGCAGGGAGTGCGAAGAAAACGTCTTGACGGCAGGAACGAGACTCAATAATCGCACATACGCACATTTCAGCAAAATAAACTCACCAGAATAGCCGAGAACTTGAATCTGTCGTGTCGATACACAACATCGCATGATTCATACCTCCCCTGGCCACAAAATTCAATGGATGGACGATTTCTACCGAAAACTATTCCGCCGCTAGAGGCTCTTGAGTCAATCTGTAAACTTTACGGGGGAAAAAAATCAAACATTATCAAACGTTTTCAGACAAAAATATTGCGCGATTTCCGTAAGTTCAATCTGCACGCAAACTATATCGTGTAAAATCCAAATGTCTTTCATCCAAGCATTCGTCCTCTCCCCGACAGCTGCATGAATGGCCTAGGGCTCAGAGAATGTAAGTCTTCCACGGGCGACACCGCAACGGTCCAAACTACACGAAATTACGCGTGGCGTCATTTCTTTCCCCAAGCGGATCTTCGGTTTCTCGCTCCACCACCCCCACCGCCAAAACGTGCGGCCGCTCCGGGCGACTCGAGAGCGGCAGAGGCGGCGGGCGATTCGGGTGCGATTGATATTTCCGGAGGCCTCCACATACCGCTAGTGTAACGAATGTTTTGTCCCGGGAGATGGCGGTTTTTCCTTCCCGCTAGATGGTGTGGTGCGGCTCCGGCCTACACGTCCGCTCGTGGGCATTTCCCCTCTAGCGGGGCTCTGCAGGTATGTAAATATGTTGTGTGTTTGTGCGTAAGGGGAGGTGATTGGACAAAGGAAGAGAAGAAGAGTTCGCACGGGGTACGTGACCGGTTTGGTAGAGTAGTGCTCCTGCATTTGCCACGTGCTGCTAGGAAAACTACCCATCAGAACTCTCGCCCATCAGAACTCTCGCCAAACAGCGGCTGAATTGGACCCAGCAATGTAGCCGGTGTCAAATATCCTCCGCCGCCGGGGCTCGCACCCTACGACCTATCGGTCAGAGTCGCCGGCAGAGACAACGGCAATGCAGTTAATTCAACCGGCGCGATTTGGGCGCGAACACGCGCGGGACACTAATGGGCGGGGGCGGCGGTCGGGCGAGGGCGAGGGCGCGGGCGAGGGCGATGCCGCCGCTGCGGGTGGCGCCCCGTGGCGAGGGGCGTGGCGGGGCGGCGC